GGGGCGGCCCGCGGCTGCCCGGTACGGACTGCGAGGGCCCCCGGTCGCGGCGCTGTTGCTGCGGCTGTAGCTGCTGCTGCGCGGCGGGCGGCGGCGAGGTCAACCCGGCAGACTGCGCCACCGCCGGGCCCGCCGCGCCTCCGCCGCCCCACTGCCCCCGGAAGCGGAGCGCCGGCGAACGGGGCCAGGCGGGCTCCCCGGTGAAGAAACCCCGCCGCGAGGTGGAGGACCCCCCGCCGCCGCCGCCTCCGGACGAGCAGGAGGACATGGATACGGGCAACGTGGCCAGCCTCATCAGCATCTTCGGCTCCAGTTTCTCCGGACTGCTCAGCAAGGAGCCGAAGGGCCGGCGGCGGGCGCCTCTGGACGGCAGCGAGACGACGCCGACGCCCGCCGAAGCGGCGGCCGAACCGGGACAGATCTGCTGCGACGAGCCGGTGCTGCGGACCCTCAACCCCTGGAGCACGGCCATCGTGGCCTTCTGACGCGCCGGCCCTAGAGACTCGCCCTCCGCCGCGGGGAGAAGGGCGGGGAGGGGGGGGCCCGGCGGACAGACGGGCAACCGGACAGATAGGTTACCCCCTTCCCGCACCCTTCCCTTTCCTCCTCCCGCACCCTCGGGGGGCTCCTGCCGCAGCGGACTGTGCGGGCAGTGCCGGCGTGTCCCGGCGCCCTGCCTTCGCCGCACGGGAAGGACCGCGGGGCAGCAGCACTTCCCCCCCACCACCACCCCCCTTCCTTCGTCCGCCGCCGGCACCCCGGTTCCCGGATACCGGCAACCGCCCTGGGAGCGCCCCCGGCGCCCGGCCCTCCCGGAATTCCCCTTCCCGGTTTGGCCGCCGCCCTCCCCGGCGCCTGGGGGGAAGCTCCCCAGCTGCTGCCGACACTTGGGGGTGTGCTCCCCGCCGGGGTAATATTTTAAGCTTGGAAAGTATTAAGTTTATTAAATAAAGTCTCTATTTTGGAAAGGTTTAGGTCAGAACTATTACATGGTGCTTTTAAAAAGTGTTTATTGAGAGAAACGAAGTTTACAGATGCTCTGACAGAAAGTCCTTGAGCCTGTTTGTTAGGCTTGGTAACTCCCGGTCTTTGTTGTATAAAGGCTTGGGGCGCCCGTAGGGGTTTTTTTTTTTTTGTACAGTTTTTCTCCTTTGGTGATGTATCTTGTTTTGTATAAAATGTAATTCTACGTGTACAACACGTATTAAATATTTTCAGCTGTATAAGCCTAGTCTGTGCCCCTGCTTGGCTCGGGGAGAGGAGGAGGAGGAGGAGGGCTGTGGGGAGCTGGGCAGGCAGCAGCCAGGGTGTGGTTGCTGCATGTCTGTGGCTGGATCCACCCTGCCTCGCCAGAGCCTTGGGGTGGGTTGGAGTCCAGCTCCTCTGGCAGCCGGGAAGAAAGGGAACTTCTGTCAGGGCTGACTGGAGTCTCTCCCAGGATCTTCTAGTTGCTCCGGCTGCAACTTCTTCCCGGGGCCGGAGCTGCCGTGGCATTTTGAGGTCTTGCTCAGAAAGTCCCTAATGTGCAGAGTCACTCTCTGTGGGTGGAACGTGGTTGCTAAATCCCAGCAGAGCAGCTGCGAGCAGCCCTGGCCCCGTGGCACGCCTGGGCTGAGGGCTGGCCTCCGGCTCAAAGGTCTGGGCTGGGGGCGTGTGAGTGGATCCTTTGGGTGCTCAAACCCAGCTGCTGCTCTGCCAGAGATGTTTTTTCAGTGCCTCTTCTTTGCTGTTAGTCGCAGAAGAGTTAAAACGATGAGTATCAGGGCTCTCTTTTTTTTTTTTCTTTTAACATTATCAGTAAAACTCTTAACTGGGTTAAAGTTCCTGCTCCAAGGGGTGGGGAGAAAAGTTTGGCCTCTGCTTCACAGCAACTGTGGAGCGCCCCGAGGCGTTGTAATTAGACAGAATTGTGGGTTGTTTTTTTGCTGGTTTTTTTTTCTTTTCTTTTTTTTTTTCCCCCCTTTGCTTCTTGCTGGGAGATTCACTAGAGGCTTCTTGCTCCGAATTAACGAACTTTTCAACTGAGGATTGCATCTCTGGCGGGTCAAGGGAGATGTTTGTGTGCTGTGAAAGGCAGCCTGGGATATCTGGCTGCACCTCAGGGGCTCATGGTGGGGGAGCTGGGAAGTGGGGGGAGATGAGTGATGACCAACGTGAAGCTTTCTGCTTTCCCTGGTGTGGCTGAAACCCACCCCGTGTTGGGAAGCTGCCCTGTCCCTTACGGTGGGGGACGTTGGCATTTTTACTCCTTGTTTTTGTGAGAACTGGAGGTGTCAGACTTTTTCCCCCCCTGAAACACTAGGAAGACAATGAGGGGAGGACTTGGGTTGGAGGAGAAGCTGTCTGGTCAGAGACAGCTTAGAGGGAGCTCTGCTAGTTTGCGTACAAGTTAGTGACTCCCTATTCTTAGGTAAAAGCGAAAGTCCTACCATCTTAATTTTCGTGATAATTGCGCTTAATGATGACATACAATTTTAGTCTGGTAGGCAGCATCAAGGAAACTGTTGTGATGAGACGTTTCTTTCCACTTGATGACCTTTGGGAGGTGACGGGAAGGTCCTGTTCCTGCTTCACTTGCACAGATGCTCTCCAGGATGACCCTGCTGTCCAACAGCGTGGCCATCGGATGGGAGACAGTCACCTTGGGGCCTTTCGAGTAAGAGGAGAGAGCAGTGTGAGGAGGAAGGTGACCGCAGAGGACTTTCCTTCCAGCTCTCCTCCTGCTCACGAGCAGAATGCCCTGCTTTGAGGGCACAGGTTGCTCTCGTGGGTCAGAAGCTGGAGTGGGGGGTGGAAATGGCCTCCTTGTGCTCCAATCTTCCTCCGTGAGGCTGGGGGAGCAGGTTTCAGTCCTGCTCCTTGTCTACCAACAGCATCTCTGTGGAAGTGGATGGTTTTACCCAGGGTTTACTGGGTAAACCTACCCAGAGTCAACTCCTGAGTGTGGAAATGGAATGGGGGCACTCCAACTCTTGGCCGTCAGGAGCAGCTTGGTGCATCTAAAGGTTTTCTGGGCACCCAACTGCTGGAAGAGCATCTGCTCCAATTAGTTTGTGTGGCCCCATTGTCCCCGTGCAGACAAGACCCAACCTCCCCTTGGCACGCATCACCAGCAGTGCTCGTATCTAGTCTATCTTCCAGAGAGTTGTGCAACAGCTTGGTTGCTGTTGGCCTCCGAAAGTACAGCAAAGACTACCCAGAGATGCCAACACAACTCCCTCCAGCTGGTGTGGCCTCTCTGAGGTGAGCAAGTTCTCGTGTACTGGTGGATAACCACGGTGCCATGTCCCTGAAAGACCTGCTCCAGCTCCATCAGCTGCCAGAGCCGTTTTTGCTGCGCCAACATGTGCTTGGCCATGGGGACAACGTGTAGGGTTCTCCTCCCTGGGATGTGCCCGGGGAGCCGTGGGCCGCCACAGCTGAGGGGGCTGGAAAAAATAACTGAGATGAGATATCTGCCAGTGAGCTTTGGCTCATTACAGAGGGGTCTGCACCTCCGCTGGAAAATGAGTCTCAAATCAAAAAAAAAGACCCGTAGTGGTGGTTCTGTGTTACTTTTGGAATAAACTTTTCTGTTCTTTGTTTTGGTTTTTTCCTCCCCCAGTGTCTTTTTTTTTTTCAATTTTTTTTTTTTTTTATTCCTATAATGACTTTTACCTACACAGGGTCTGTTTTCCTTAATTCATCTGTTCCGCTCTGCTGCCTCCATCCCTGGACTTTTCCTTCTTCTGCTTGTGGCCCTGCCTTTCGATTTTTGTGGAGGTGAGAGTGACGGGCTGGGGGAAATAAGCTCAAGGAGAGGCTGCTGCCCAGGCCAAAGCTTGACGGAGGGGAGCGAAGTGCATAAATAAGCTGGATAAAAATAAAAACTTCCATCACTTGGAAGAGAAGGGTGCCTCCTATGGAAACTACCTCATGGGGTCGAGGAGGATATGACTTCATGGCAAGATGGCAGGATCCTCACCTTCCTATAATAGCAACAAGCTGTTGGAAGCGTTGGCTCGGGCTGCTGCAACATCCAGCCTCCTTCCCCCCCCTCCAGCTGCCCCCAGCTCAGATTAGGTCCCCTGGGAGAGGAGAGGTGCTGGGAAAATGCCTTCGGAGGGTGGGATAGGTCCCGGTTGGAGGGAGGTGGGAGGGTGGTGGGGGAGGATGGATGGTGAGGGACAGGCTTTCACTTTTCTCCTGCTGTAATCAGCGAGGAGCGATCATCACTTGGGGCAGATGAGCTGCGGTGGTTCTCATCAGGGGATACCTTCTGGAGAAGAGGGAGTGATTTAAAAACCTCCTCTTGCCAATAAGGGAGGGTTAACGGCGTGAATCATCTCATCCTTTAAAGGGATGGACGTGCCACTGGCCTGGGACAGGTGCCAGCCAGGGGTCGGAGGGAGCCCACAGGGGATGGCAGGCGATGGGGCAGTGAGGGGCTCACGGTGGGCTCTGGATTTCATCTCCAGATGTTCTTGTTCGCTCCTGGCCTGATGCGACCTGGCTTTACACCCCCCCCCCCCCCCCAACCCCCCCCCCCCCGGGGGTCCAGCGCCCCCCCCCAGCCCCCAGCACCCCCCTCTGCCCGGGCCCGGGGCCCCCCCCCCCCACCAAGCCACGGACAATCACTGGCCCTGCCACTAGTCACACTGCACTGCCACCAAGAGTGTCCTCTGCTGCCTCTGAGCCAGGGACCACCAGGGCCACCAAGGCATCCTGTGTCAGCGCTCAGGAATCCGGCTGGGAGGGAGATGGGAGGAGGGAAGCAGGGCTGCCTGCCTGCTGGGGCCTCTCCCCACCCCAGGAGCCG